TGATTTATAAAAGGAATTAATAGCGAAAATGTTAAAAAACGGCAATTTTTGTGAAAGTATTAGCAAATTTCAGTGCATCTAAAGCTTCTAAAGCGTTGTTTACTTTTCCCTGAGAATTGTCAAAATCGGCAAATCCCAAGTAGCGGTTGCTTGAACGTGCCACATTTGTTCGCTACATCGTGATGTGATAAAAAGAAAAGCTGGCAGCACTCCGCAAGGTTGTAGAAATCTTTCAAAATATGATCGAAAAATATCTTGATATGGAAGGAACTGCTTTACACTGTCAAGGAAAAAAATTGCCAAAACTCAATGCAATTTTTAGCAACTTCAACCTTGCACTTTATTATACTAAAATTATTATTTTTTAGATTCTAATTAAAATGTTCGCAATTTAGGTGTAACCTTGCAGATTGTTTTTAATTTTTTTACAAAGTTTGATCCAAAACCTGAGATCTACCACATTTTTTTGAAATCTACCACATTTTTTTCCAGATTCTACCACACAAATTTTTTTTAAGTCCGATCACTGACTATAATATGCCTACGTGGGGAAACTTCCACTAACTACATACTTAATCTCGATGCATGTTTATGCGTAAATTTCACTAATGGCTGTTGTTTTCTCAGAGTGCAACATATTAAAGAAAAAGCACGCAATATTCACGTGAACCACTCAATAATAGGAGTGTTCGCTATGCAAAAAATTTTTACAAGTTGTACCCAGTAAATCTTGCAAAGAGAGAGCACAATTTTGACACTTCATTTGGAGGGGAAGTTGCAAATTCGTGGTGGGAAAATTTTTGCCTGTAAGAATTTGCAAGCAAGATTGTGGCACAAGGTTGCATTTTTGTCAACATTAATTTGAATCAACAAGTTCGTTAAATTTAAAAATGAACAATCTTGTTGCGATTTACTAATGAAAGAAGTATGAAATATTTGTTTATTCAATTAATTTAATTAATTCCAAACATTTGAAAGGTATCCGGCTGAAAAAGTTGTATTCGTAATCGGAACGCCCTCGACACCGCTGTCGATATAAGAAATCCGACAGTGACTTCAAGAATAAAGTCAGAATAAGAATAAATATACGTATAGGTGCTCTTTTCAATTCCACCTGAAATTGTTTAAAAAATTTATTATGCTCGAAATGCAACCGTNTCCGGCTGAAAAAGTTGTATTCGTAATCGGAACGCCCTCGACACCGCTGTCGATATAAGAAATCCGACAGTGACTTCAAGAATAAAGTCAGAATAAGAATAAATATACGTATAGGTGCTCTTTTCAATTCCACCTGAAATTGTTTAAAAAATTTATTATGCTCGAAATGCAACCGTGGACGCCAGCTGGCAGTGAAGCTTGCAAATGTTTGCTAATTCCTGTTCGCGCAAAACTTAGTAAGTCTCTCACTTTGGGAGAGTAAGGTACCTTATTCTCTGAATTTTGTTACTGGCTAACTTTTACTGGCAGTTGCATAGCGAACACTCCTAATATATGAGCTTGACAGCCCTGGCGCAGGGCACAATAAATGCAACATTATTTCGAGAAAAGAAAACGCCATAAGTAGAGTGAATTGCGATAACAAACATTCATGAGTATGCACGTAATTATAATGGTAATTTCGGTGCTTTGAGTGCTGTGGCAGAATTCTGCGAACTCTTGACCAAATCAAATCGTTTTAGCGGCGTTTTCTCAAGCAACCCTTAACTTAATAGCTTACTTTATATTTAAAGGTCAAATTAAAATTTATAAGAGCATTTCTAGTACATATCAGTTTTTGACGTGCGTATGTCTCTTGGTTGTAAGCCAATTTAAATCAGGATAGTATAAATTTTATTGCAACCTTTAAATATACAGTGAGCTTTAAAGTTAAAGGTTACTTGAGAAAACGGCCCTTATCCTTTTTGTAATAAGTATCAAGTGAAATTCACTGTTTGATTAACCTTTTAATGAATAGATTGCTGTGCGCGCAACTATTTTAATCATTTAATTAGCAGATAAGAAACAAAATATTGAACTTATGAGTTGCCGAACTGCCGTTTAATTGTACCGGAACCAATTATAGAGCCAAGCATAGCGGGAACATCAGTGAACCTTTGGTGCAATACTGGCACCTGCAAAACAAGCAAGTATTTCCTGAAAAGGCGACACAGAGTGGTGGCGAAATTTCTTCTCAGGCAGAGAAGAAGTGAGCTACAAGACATAATAGGAATGATCATGGTACAATCCATGGCGTAACACGCAAGTGATTTTGAAAAAAATATTAAGTTTTTAGAACCGGTCTAATGTGTTGCGGATTTAGACAGCTGCATGAATGTGGTGGTTGGCATTTATGAGACAGTCCCCTGCAGCAAATCAAACTGGTTCAGAAGTTGCGCCGAGCTGGACGGTACTAGTTCTTCATCTATCCCAACTCAATGCTTTCAATTTTTTTTTTTAATATGGCGTTGTCCTACGAAGTGACAATTGTCGCCCTCTGCAGAATTTTTGAACTTGTTCTGATCTGACTCTGGCTTAGATGGTTCTGAGATAGTTCATATAAAAACAGTTCCTAGATAGTTCAAAAAGGGTCACCTCCGGGCTAGAACAAATGTGGTTAGTTGGTGGTTGGTGGTTGAGCTGGTTCCAAGAAGTATAGCAGAGAGCCGTTTCTTTAAATACTGTAATTGAATAAGTACGCATACAATTGTGTAACTAAAAAATACCTAATTTTATGATTAAGGAGCTATTTGTTTTGCACTAATTTACTTTTTGAGGCAAACTGTGGTTTAAAATTAGGAACATAAAGTGTCAGTTAATCCTTCATTTTCTAAAACCGTTATTCTTAAAAATATTTTACATATATGGTTTACGTATAATGGGTATTTCTGTGATACTTATAATTAAAAATCTAAACTAAGGTGTGTGAAAAAATGAAGAAACGGTGATATATTGAGTGCTTATTTGTGATAACTTAGCGTTAAATTGTATTAGATGTATTGAAATGTAATATATAGACTCTCCGGCATCTAATAAGGAATTTTGAATATTCACAGTGGTTTTTTGTGCTAAATAGTTTTAGTTAATTTTTTTATTTAAGAATGGCCTATAAGTATTATTCACGTTTCTAACTGTTTTGGAAATTTAGTAGAATTCTAGAAACTGTTATAAAAACTTCAATACTTTAAATCGAAGTTAGAACTGGGTTTCGCTATGTCATATTTTGGCGCCAAAATTTGTCGCCATATTTTGATACAAGTTTATCTCTTTTATTCGCCGATGATATTATGGGCCAAGAACCAGCATTGTAGCTGGTATAGCAGCGCATGTACACGACTGAATGTAAATCAATCGCTACACCGTTTTTTAATCCCATTTGACAATTGGGTTGTTCACACTTGCCTAGTTATCATGTTTTCTGGTTATGTGGTTATATTTTTTATTCAGTTTACAACAATAACATACACTACAGAATAATAATTTTTAACCAGATAATCCGATAACCTGACAAGTGTGAATAACCCAATTGTGTTTTCATTTAGTTGATGATAAATGTCATTGAATTTGACATAGTGAAAACAAGGATTTATAAGTATGCAGTTCTAGAGCCCACTAAATTTTAATACAATTTATCGCGCTAATTTTTCATGACTCTTTTTACGCACGCTCTTGAAGGTGATCTCCCATTTAATTATTTTCGTTTAAGATGCAAGGTTACACTTTACTGCACCAAAATTTGATGGGCTACAAAACTGAATACTCGAAATATTTATAAAAAACTGATTAGAAAGTTTGAAATTTGAAAACCGTTTTACAGTTCTATCAAGTTTGCAGCAAAGTCAGGAATTTGAATTTAAATGGTTTATGGAATATAAGACATACTTAAATAAAACTTAACGAAAAATATTTAAAATGAAGAACATTGGAAATTAAAAAAAAATTACTGCGTAACTATGTACACATTTCTGGTGATCAGTGATATATTTACGTATGTGCAGTATCGGTATAATCAATAGCTCCCCCATTTCAAAGCGAGATTGTTTACCACTTTTGTTTATTTTCTTTTAATCTGATTAAAAAGTCGTTAAATTTTCCTTTGTTTTGTATGAAGTTTGAAAACACAGTTTATATGATTTTATTTTAAGCATGATAATTTTTTTTTTTTATAAAAAAATAACAAACAAATTTTAACTCTCAATATATAGTGAATATTTAAAAAAAAATGATGTGCGCAGACTTACTGTTGAAGTAAATGAGTGAAATGTATGTACGTACATTAGATTGTGTCAAATAAAATGAATTGTTTTTTTTCCGGCGCCATATGACAGTTTTACAGACACAACCCGTTTCTTTAATCCTTATGTCAACAGCAGAAAAATTATACGTATGTCAACAGCAGCATGCCCGGGTATGCACATACATTTTGTATGGGAAATGGCATTGTATTGCGACGAAAATGTAAATATGTAACACATTTTTTCTAATTTGGATATGTCTTTATTGTTATTGCAAAGATTATTTAAAAAATTCAATGCAATGTAGAATAAAAATTTGGGTACCACATGCAAGAGGAAATTTCTTTAGAATTTAAAAAGTTTAAAATGTTTTGGATTCACAAGGACGAGTAGGTAATTCGAAAATGTTATCGAGTTTATATAAGTCCTTAAATTTTAATTTTTTCATAAAGAAATATTGCGAAATATCCATGATACAATTTTAAATTGAAATTTTCAATACTTACCAGTCCTTCTGAACTAAAAACTTAAATCTGTTTAAATTCTATAGGATTTCCCCTTAATACCCATACTTCTTCTCTAAGCACATTTCACTGAATTTTTTTAATCATTTTTGAATTACTGACGTCAGAGTGAAAAACTAAAAACGCAATTTTACTATATTTGGCCCATGATTTCGCGAATTGATGTTTTTGTTTAAAATTTACTATTACGGGATCCCGGTATCCCGGGATTAACATTCCTAGTACTTACACTCTGATGTTTGCTTGAATTTATCGCCCAAAATCAATGGATGTGATATGCCAGTATTATTATGCATTAAAGCTTCATTCGGAGACACCATGGTTGAGTTGTACAGGGGTAAATCTCAAATCACCACCGATAAAGCAACCGCCAGATCCATGTCGCGCCTTTTACTGTAATAAATTCAAGTAACAAAAATAAGTTTTCACTTAAATTGCTTTCGTGAAACTTACCTTTAAGGTATTTCGTCTGAAATAAGTCTATTTATATTGGATTTCTGTAGAAGAATTATACGCATCCACGTTGAAATTGCCAAGGATAGATTCACTATGGGACCCCGGATCATTGTTGTCGCCAGGGAGTGAAGAGGAAATGTTCTTCAAATTTATTTCCTTATGAGATTAACGGTTCTATGAAAGGCTGCACAATTAGAGAATTTCAAGTACTTCTTCACGAACATAACACTTTCGTTATGTTATTTAAGGCGACAAAAGACCATGGAACCATAATCTTAGCCAATGGAAATGGTAAATGTGAATTGTTGGTGAAAATGTTGGAACAAAATGTTTAAATAAAAAAATTAATTTTGGGCGGGACGAAGTTCGCCCGGGTCTGCTGGCATATTTCATTTAAACTAATTGAATTTAATTTTAAAACATTTGGCAACCCTTGTTAAAGGCTTCAATATTATTCAAAACTTTCAAACTAAAGGTTTCTTAACAATATTTCCTGTGACAACCATATGTTATAATTCTTCAGATAGCTTGCGTATAATTAATTTAAATTTGACTATTCAAACAGGTGGCAACCATTTTGGCCTCTTGACATCCATTTATTTAATAAAATTTTCAAATAAATAACTCCCTTAATTGAAGTTAAATTTGATTTTTTTAACAGGTGGCAGCCCTCAGATAATGATTGTATATATCTCCACGCCTAGTTACAGTAATCTACCAAAAATATTTGCTGAGAAATGCAGTATGAAAAATTCCGTTTGTATGGGGGGTGCCACGCCCCTTGTCTAGTCGAGATTAAATGTTATTATGTTTTTTTATGGTTGCTAACCGAATAAAGTGATTTGTGCGAAAAAATCTTGACCATCCAATTTTCGGTGGCCCACTTGAGAGATTTTCACTCATATGCGTGTTTTTTTTTTAATTTAGCACGTTTTTTTTTTAATTCTAACATTTTTTCTCCTTAGTGTACCTTTCGTTGATTAAGTTCAGCGAATAACCGTCCCATTCAGATACAGCCAAATGATCATTTAAGCACAAAAGGTGTGAAGTAACTAAGATCACTTTCAACTATTATCCCAATGCAGAGAATGCGCATAAAGTAGCCCCACATAGACAGCATAACAACAATAACACCAAGGCGCACGCCACAAATCGGAGAATCTCGGCCAACTTTATTATTAATGGACAGCCTACGATGCAAGCCTTGTTCACCATTTTGCTTCTGAAAACATGCAAACAATACATTAGAACGACTATGTTCAAATACATACGTAAATATCACCAAAGGAGAACTTACCGATTTAAAGGCCATTGCACTATATCAGTTGGAAAAATCTTTAAATCAACAAAAACACATATTTGCTTTTTAATTAACCAGAGAGATCCCTTATTTACTCCAAGTTAATAGTTACAACAATCTCATAACAATAAATAACACTGTTATAGACTGTTTTCGAATTGGGCGTGGCACCGTTCGCTTTGGGACTAAAAAGGTGTATCTGGGTAACCGCTTTATCGATTTCTACCAAACTTGTTTCAATTATTTCATTAAGTCCAGCTCAGCATATTATCGAAAACGTTTGAAATCGGGGAAAACACCACTGCTTATCATGCAAAGACAATTTAGAGAAAGTTGAAATGTCGATATTGGTACCTGCGCCGGGTATATAAAGTTCGGTTTCGCCTGAACTTATACTTCTTTACTTATTTATTTATAGCATACGTAATATAAGGTTTATGTATCACATTAAGTACGTATTTACATATTTGTTTCAAGACGGCAAATTTTGTTACCAATCACACGATCTATCTAAATATACACATACAGTTGTTCAAATAACAAGAAAAGTTTNATTTATTTATAGCATACGTAATATAAGGTTTATGTATCACATTAAGTACGTATTTACATATTTGTTTCAAGACGGCAAATTTTGTTACCAATCACACGATCTATCTAAATATACACATACAGTTGTTCAAATAACAAGAAAAGTTTCTTCTTGACTTATACTATAATAAAATTATCGAATTACTTAGCAAACTTTTTGCTTCGTGGCTGTTTTTTCAGGTGTTAACTACAACGAGCATATTCAGTTTGTGACGGTCGTGGATTAAAGAAAAACAGTATATAAGGGCGCAAAAACTCAAGTAAGGCACAGTTGAAAGTTTCGCACTGAGCATTTCTTACGACAACTACCAAAATGGCCAACAAATTCGTTTGCACTTTATTGCTCTTGGTTGCGGCTACAGGCGCCCAAGCTGATGGAACTGTAGGTGGTTCAGCTTCCTCTATTAGCGCTCACCCGTACCTCGCAAGCTTACAGCTAGCCGATGGAACCATCGTCTGTGGTGGCGGTTTAATTAATTCCAAGGTCCTTGTCACGATGTTAGCCAATTTGTCGTTGGTGTCAATAATGATGCTCAGACCATTAAAATCGCTAAATCTAGATATGATAGCGCCTACGATATTGAAACCAATGAGAATGACATCGCTATCGTGAAGTTGGCCGAAGCCGCAAGTGTTAGCAGCTACCTTGGATTGGCAAGCAGCTTACCTTCAAGTGGTGTACTCGTCAGTTGGGATGAAAGCAATGCAGTGGTACAAGTATCTGAAACTATCACCAGCGCCAAGGTATGCGTTACTCAAGGCTACAAATACGAAGACGGCGATCTTTACAATTCACAGTTCTGCGGTTTGGCTGCGAACGAAGCTTGTGGTGAATTGCCTGGAAGTCCTTTGGTTGCTGACAACAAGTTGCTCGGTGTTGTGTCCTGGGGTTATGGTTGTGGCAACAAAGACAGTCCAGCTGTTTACTCTAACATTCCAGTCTTGAAATTGTGGATCGAAAGTGTTTTGTAAAAAGTACTTACATATACAATAACCCATTAGTGCATAAGGTCCCTTTAAAGGGACGGTCAGCTTTTGCT